TAACAAGAACCGTGATATTTAAAATTTCACCATCATTTTCATGGTTCCTCAATAGGTGCCAGGGTGGAAACTGTGAATGCAGTATGTGTTAACATCCTTGACACAGGCTTGTGTGCTGTACACATGAACAAACACCTCTCTCTCCTGTCAACAAAGACCCGTAGTGTCTGTTTATGTGTGTGGCTGCAAGCTGTAGGTGATCCCAGGAGATTAGCCCTCAGGTGGAGCAGACAGCGTGGTAATGAATTTGTCCACCTTTCCACAGAGGGATTCCAAGCTAACCTGATCATGAGATGCGCTCAGCGGTACAATAAAAGTTCAAGGGATCGCAGAGAGGTGAAGCATTCTGCTTAAATGAAAATTGATATGGCCTTAGGGGCTGCCCTTTTGAAAGCTGGCTGTGTGAGACATGGTCCAGCAGCACTCGAATGAAACAGAAGGTCTGTGCCCCGAGTCCGTGCCCGGCCCAGCTTGACAGATCGACCATAGCAAGGATTTTCGAAATGTCAGCAGTCATGCAAAATTCATACTCAATCATAAGCGAAACCCGTCACACAACAGGGAGAAGCTGCTAAATAATTCAGCCTTTGTCTTGTTATGATTCCTGTGAAAAGCGAAGGCATTCAGAGGGGGGGGCGGGTCTGGTGATCCGTGCTTTCCTCGGTGGGTGCATCTGTGAACACCCGAGACCTTGTTCTCGTTTAGACTTAAACAGATCAGATCTCTCCCAGGGCCAAGGTCTTACACCTAGCAGGTGTCAGCCACTCACTGTCTCACATCTGTCAACAAGTTTTCATGACATGCCAGCATATGAGTGTTTTGAAGGGGCCCCTGTCCTTTACCCTGCATGGTGTCAGGCTACATATTGTGAGTAGAGGTAACAGTAAGCTCCAGGCACTGAGGGCTTGTTAAAAACATTAGATAGTCTGTTATAAAAGGGGAAGTCTGTGAATTCAAAATTTAAACACAGGAGATGGAGTAATTTGGGAATTCTGCAGATCTTTTAATAGATGATAGTGAAATGAGAGAGGTGTGTTAATGAGAGAGGTGTGATGTAACACCACAGAGCCTTTCGTGTATGTCCCCATGCAGTTTAAGAAGCTTTATATTTTGTTATTCTTGCGCTACAGTTTACCTTCACTGCCAGCAGTACTTCTGATATACAGCCAGTTGTCACATGAATGTGTGTGTGTGTGTGCGTGCGCGTGCGCGTGCGCGTGCGTGTGTGTGTGTGTGTTTGTGTTTCTTTTGAAGGTAACCCAGGAGATTTCTGATCCAAGCAGAGTCTTCCGCCTCCTTGGATCTGACAGGTTGGTACAGATCCTTACACTTCAGATATGTCATCAGTAGAGGAAGTACAGCCACAGCCTACATTCCCTCCTCTTTTAAGCATCTCTGTTCTATTATTAATTGTTTTGTTTGTTTTTTGGTATAGCTATTTATTCATCCCATAATTCCCATGAAACCTGTCCCGCTAGTTTATGACCGTTATCCCTCAGGTGTGTTTTTCCATTACCTGAGAACCACCAAACAACCTCCTCACCCATAACGTTTTGAGCAGACAATTCTCATCTGTCACTGCACTCAGACATTTACTTTCAAGTGTGTTACTTTGGTTGTCCCTCATCAAATCGTCTTATTGATTTACTTTTAGGTAACACTGTAGTAAATTACGATTGCGCTCTCTGTGGTGACTGCTCTCAGCTGCAGATGAAGCAGGATGTGATTTTTAGACTCAGTCAAACAGAGCATGCTCAAACTGGAGGACGATCTCCCAGCAGCACCTCTCGTTGAGCGGTGACTCCTGATGGAGCCGCCCCGACTTGTGGCACCAGAGCGAGGCCACTCTCTGCTGCCCAGCCCGCCATGTTTTATTCACCGCCGCCTGGGCACTGCCAGCCTGGTTTGAGTGTCTCTCCGCGCCTCTGTAATTTCATCTGATGGAACGGGCAGTATAGACTGCAGCTTCTCCGCTCAGCTGTCACCGCCACAAGGCCGATGGCATCTGAAGATGCACCCACTGCCGTCCTGATCTGGCCGTCATCTGACTGTTGATTACTTAACATGCATGACTCTGCACACTGAAACCACGAACATTATGCAACACGTCGCTAATGTCAGTTTCAGTGCAGTTCAGCCTTTTTTCTTTTCTTTTTTTTTTTTATCAGACTGTCAATAATCTGATCAAAGCTGTGGGTGAACGAAGTCAACCAGCTGTCTTCTCGTTGTTTCTCTGCATTTTTCAAACTGATCTTTGAGTGTTACACATAAAATATGCATAATTTTCATCACTAAAAACATCAATTTTACCCATTTTTATCAATTTAAAAAAACAATACAGTAACATAAGATTAATGCTTCACTGGGGAATCTACGTCTAGCTACACTATAACCCTTCTGAAATCTTACGGCATAATCTCATGTCCATCTCAGGTCAATGTAATTGTGATTTGCCTGATCAGCACAATCAATTCCTCCTGTGCTGTTTCGCCACAGTTTTTGATTTATTAGTGACAGAATAACGGTCACCCCCTTAATATGAGAAATAATAATCATAGCATTAAAGTAAGGACTCACAAATGTCAGCAAATTCCTGAAACGACATCAGGAAGTCAAGGAATGTAGAACTCCAGGAACAAACATGAATATGAAAAAGTCCCTGCATTTTATTTCTATCATGACTGACACCACATATAAAACACCAGGACACAACCACGTGGTAATGAACACGTAATGCACCAGCATAAATGCTAGCAACGTCAACCACTTATGTAGGTTACGTTGTAGGCTTTATATAGATTCCCAACAAATGTAAATCAGGGCTTTAGACCTTTTTGATCAGATTATGTGTGGGGAAAACAACGAGTGATAAGAAGAATCTTCCAGGATTTTAGATGATGAGGGAATGAGGGTTTAGTTGAAACACCTGGATCGTGTTGTAGGGGTTTTTGGAAAAGTAATTACCGGGAAGACACGTTGTTGTCAGAGCTGTGTAGACGAGAGGAAGTGATCGAAGTGGAAAATCAAGAGAGCAGCAGGGATTTCCAGTAAAAGCAAAGCGAGTGGGGGAAAAATGGCTTCCTTGCATTAAATGACTGTTGTGTAAAGAAACAGGATATTATGTTTTTCTTACAAACTGCTGTTCCTGTGTTTCTGTTGCAGGGTGGTGGTCTTAGAGAGTCGACCGACCGACAACCCCACGGCCCTGAGCAACCTCTATATTTTAGCAGGTCATGAGAACAGTTACTGATCCTCAGCCAGTGACTCGCCAGGTCTTTGAAAAGTGGATAAGAGGCCTCACTTTTGGGAGAAAATGACACTCTTAGACCTGCGTTTCTGTTACGAGAATTGTCCGGTTTAAAAGCGTTTTTGGGAGCTTTTGTTACTGATCACGGGATCTGCAGGTCAGTAAAAGAGGAGCCTGGTCAGTTCGGATTCATACGTAGCCTTTCACCAGCAAGACGTTAACTGTAGCCTCCGTCATCTCAAACAATGCGAGGACTGTTACGAGCAGGAGGAGAAGCAGTAAAAAGCTTGAATAATCATCATTACTTAGCGTTTTCCTCACTTTCCTGTTCTGTGGACTGAGTTACAAACAAATTATCTAGCGGTATTATTACAAAAGTGCCATTAAAATTCACAAGAATTGTGATTGTATTAGGAAACCATGGGAGATTTGTTGTGTTATTGTCTGTCACTCATAATTACTGCCAGTGGCAAACCTTAGTAAGCTTGAGAGGAGATTTTACAAGCTCTGTAGTGAGAATAATAGATCAGTTGAAACAGAAACTCACAAGTGCTGTGGGTTATTTAAGCAATATTTATTAACCTCATCTTCCGTAAGAGGGTATGTTGGATTTATACACGGTGACGGAGCGGTCTGCTGTGTTAAAATTAACTACCTAAGCAGCTTTCGGTTATTTTTACTGCTCTGTAATATAGTTGCATCTCCTGCTCTGCTGCATTTATTTTTTTTTTTTTTTAGAAATTGGATATACTGTACATGCTTTTGTTTTTATTTTTCTTTACCCCCCTCTTTTATAGACCCTTTACTTATCATTATTTGCACCATGTAAGCACTTTTGTACATTTTTATTTAAAATAAAAAGACAAAATGAGGGACTGCTAGGTTTTATTAACATCTCTGCATTCCCTTTGCTTAATGTGTACTGTTTTTATAATAAAAGCTGTTGTTAACATGAGAACGAGCTGTGGGTTATTCTTGTGTCGTGAGATAATCTCTTGTTAGGGAGAGCAGGTGATGGTGAGTTTTAGTTTCCATTATTCCTCTTTTTTTCGTTCTGCTTTCAGTCTGATGTGACTCCCTGGGCTAGTTGGTCGCAGTGAGACCAGACTAAATTTGCAGCTCAGTGTTACGTACTGGATGATATCAGGCTGATGTGGTTTAAGGGTTTTTGATGGTCGGGTAAACATGGACTCAGATGTGTGAGAAAACAACCCTAAAATGTTTCCCATGTGTCAGTGGTTGAGCTCTCCTGTTAGACTGAAATGAGTCAGGCATGACGATAATGACGTTTGTAGGTAAACAGCCTGACAAAGGTAACTCTCTCAGGTGTGATAATCCACAGGAGTCCTGCTTTCCCTTTTCCTCTGGAGGTGGGGGGTGGAGTCAGTGGTTCCTATGGACACAAGGGTGGAAAAAAGCAGAAGTGTTAAGTTGTTGTTCAGGGAGACTTATTCAGTGGGCAGCACCGGAAGTCATGTGATCTTACTTCCAAAATTAAACACGCAGCTGATTCATCAAAATAGGAGTTAAAGATTTGAGTTTGTTTTAAGATAAAATGCTTTTCATACTTAATTTTTAACAGGTGTGCAAGTGAAGCACAGTCAAGGGATATTAATGATGATAATGTTAAAGAAGTGACAGCATTAAAAATGAAGAAAAAAATGCAGTTACAGTTGGGTCACTTTATTTTGAAAAGCGCGACCGGATGTAGGTTTCATTTAACCACCTTTACGGATTAAAAACAGGAGCTCGCTGGAGCTGCAGGAGTAGTTGTTCTGTGATCGTCTACCTCGCAGGCTGATGTTGTTTGGAGGAAGAAAAGGGTCCTCCTGAATTTGGATTTCCTCTTAAAGAAACATCTGCGAGCATTTTACGGACAGTAAGTTTATAAATGTGATTTATTTTGGGTTATTCTACTTTAATGGTCAGGATTATTCGTCCATAGGCTTTACAGAAACACTTTATTTCCATGTTAAAATAAAGTAGCATGGGTATTTAAAAAAAAAAAAAATAGTTGCACCTTCTCGAGGCATCAATTTAGCAATTTTGGTTTTTTTGTTTCTAATAAATTATACAGTGTCCAGGCACTACAGAAGGCAGGTGTAAAGAGATGAAATGGGAAGTGCTGTATTTATCCATTATTTGGGACATTATTGTTATAGCAGTTGAAGTAATGATGAATAGTTGATAATAACAATCATGTTATCTGACAGATGCCTCTATCAAAATATCCATGTTATCCATGATCAATAGAAGTTTGTTCAGGGACTTGCTCTCCACCACAGCTTCAAAGGTGCTTCCAGTTTGCAGCCAATCACAGAGCCAGCCTCTTTTGATGAGATTATTCAGTCAGCTGTAGCTGTGCTTGCTACAACTGACTGATAAATAGGATCTTCATCTTCCTCAGGAAATAGACCCTGTTCACACCCTTCTTGAATACAGCCTCTGTGTTGGTCTTCTAGTTCAGTCTGCTGTCTGATGATGGGACTCCCAGGTGCTTGCACTCCTCCACCACATCAACTTACTGTCCCAGGATAGATATAGCTAGTGTGGCCATCCTTTTTCTTCTGAAGTTGATCATATCTGTCATCATCTTATTCCCATTCAGAAGCAGATGATTCTCACTAAAGGCCCCTCACTACTACATCCATCCACTGCAGAGTATTTGTGTAGGTTGCACGGAGCTGCACAGAAGGACTGAGGTGCAAATAAATTAAAGATAATCTCCCGATTTGTGGCTCAGGATGTAAATGCACACAAAAAGATAATAATTAAGATGTCATTTGTGTGTATACATGAAGTCAGCAAGTGATGTAATAATGTGTGGCCATTCCAAGTGGACATTTCTGTACTTCTTTTCTCATAAATATTAAATTATGTTTGCTTACTTCAGGAGTCACCTTTCATTCAGATATCTGGACCATAATAACAGCTTTTAATCATAAATATCAGGCGTTATACTTAGAGGTTATATTTTAATCAGAGGTGGTATTTCCCCCTTTGAAATGCATTCAAATTTTTCAGTGCAGCACTTTGATATTCTCCTCACCATGTTATTAGTCTTATCTTTGTGTCCCCCTCAGGGAAATGACCGAATATACTTTGCATTGCAAATGTTTTTGTTACGCAATCTGCTGGGAGATGGGTGTAACGTTCCCTCTTTGTGCAGGGCCATTTAGGAAGTTACCCTAACATTTTCATCCCTGTAAAACGAGCTTGCATGCAGGCATGCTTTTGACGGGTCAAAAGTTGCTCATACTTTTTATTGCTGCAAAAACATGTTTGTTTGTTTTTAAAAAAGCTAATTTTTGCAGCTTGGCTTGTGTAAACCATTCATAAAAGCAGTAGATTATCAAGTAAAGCCCCCTTCTTCCTTTCTTTTCCTCTTTGTCTGTTTTCAGGCTGCCACTGCTGCTTGTAAAGTTTTTGTTTTGTCTCCTTTCAGAGGAGCACTGCTTCCTCCTCAGTATGGAGAAGTACGAGAAGATTGGAAAGATTGGAGAGGGCTCGTATGGAGTCGTCTTCAAGTGCAGAAACAAAGACACGGGCCAGATCGTCGCCATCAAGAAGTTTGTCGAGTCAGAGGATAATCCCATCATTAAAAAAATTGCACTGAGGGAGATCAGGATGCTCAAGGTAAAGACGCAGCCTGTCTGACAGAAGCTTGCAAATTAGTACAGAAGTTGTGAGAGAAAAACATCAAAATGATAAATGAATAAAAGAGGCATGTAATGCTAAAGTCTGCTTTACAAAACTGGTCTTCTTAATGCAGAGTTGCAAGATAAAATTATGTGACTAAGAACGAAATATATGACTTACGAAGTTACATTTATCAAATAAAAAACTCATCAGGATAAAATTATTAGCAGGAAGCGTAAAACATTCACATTTTTTTACTTTACAAATCAAGTTTTTATCATAACTCTCAGCCAAACTGTTGTTTTGAAACTTTAACTCAGTCTTTAGAGGATTTAAATCTTGTTTTTAATGCAAGGAAATGTAAAGCATTCCTCCTCCTGTGCAGCCAGCGGGAGGGACACGGTGCAATTAATTCTGCCGACAGAGGGGAAACACTTCGCTTTCAAACCAGCAAACTTGAGAAAAGGTTTAGAGGGCTGTAATCAAATGAAGGCAAAACCCTGCAGGGTCAGAGCTGACTCCAGTATTTCAGTTGCAGTGTGACATGTCTGTGAACATTGAGTTATCTTTTAAAAAAGCCTCTGGCACGAGTTGAATATCTTTCTTAGGCTGTAAATTGGAAGCTTAGGCTCAGTTGTGGTCAAGTCATGTGTTTTGTTAACGATGTACATATTTATCAAAGATGTACCGATGCGTTTGTTGGTGGTTTAATTAGTCATGCAGTGGGTGGGAGCGCTGGAGGCCTGCTGGACATCAGGAGCTCGTAAATAGGACAGGTTGTCAGGGGCAACAGCATGTTTATTACCCTCTCTTAACAGTTTAGTGTGTTTGAGATACAGACAGAGACTGATGAGCCACTCCTCTGTGCAGCAGATTCTGCTTGTAATGTCTGTTTGGGATTTCTGTTTTCTGTCTGTGCAGCAACTGAAACACTCCAACCTGGTGAATCTGATCGAAGTGTTTCGACGCAAACGGAAGCTTCACCTGGTCTTCGAGTACTGCGATCACACCGTCCTCAACGAGCTGGACCGCCATCCCAGAGGGTGGGTGTGTCTCCCCACAAAACCTCCCTGAAAGAAAGAGATGCATGCATTTACTTGGTAGTTGCTTTGTAACTGCACATGTTTAAAGAACAGCATTGCAAACACCTGGCTTTCGGCTATCTCCAAACTTCATTTATATAACATGTATGCCGCTTTGTCCAGCTCTGATGGGCACAACGCTCATCTCCTGGGAGACTGACTGGCTTTCTGTGGTATGCTTACAGTGATGCCCTCCCAGAATGCTTTGCTGGAAGGGAGCCACATTTTATAGGGAGTGTTTTGGCTCTCCAGTCCCCCCGCCCTCCTCTAGTCCTGGCCTATAGCCTTCAGGCCACAGACGGGTTCAAAAGAAGAGACAACAAAATAGATAGAAAGGGGCTGAGATTGTTATAAATCGCCAGTCACAAGGCTCGAATTAGCCATTTCCCCAGCAACACTGGTAGATAGCGGCCCCTTGACCAACAAAGCCTCAGTTGTTGAACATTGTGCCTCAAGAAAGAAATGGCTGGCCATTACTGACTGTCATCTTCAGCCACAGAGCGGCAAAAGAAAACTAGAAATGAAACAAAACAGAGCAGAAAACAGAACAAATGTATTTTTTTGTGTTTTGCTAAATGAACCGTGACGAGCTACGCGACTTCTATTCCAAGCTCCTCCCAAAATTGTCTCACAAACCATTATTTTATCAAATCACAACATTATGGTCTTACTGACCTTCATCGGGTACAAAAAGCAAGTCAGTTTGTGAAATTTCTTTCCTCGTAGATATTCCAAGATTCCACAAAGTGCTTGGAATCCACAGCAACTCGGCTGCAAAGTGTCAGATCACGCAACGTTACAGAGGAGTGTCGCTGAATGCATGAAGGATGCTAACATTCTTCTTATTCACTAACTGCAAAGCTCCAAACCTTCTGTGGCATTAACATCAGCACAAAAGCTGAGTGCCGGGAGCTTCGTGACATGGGTTTCCATGACCCAGCAGCTCCCGTAGGCATAAAGTGTAGGTAGCCTTTTATCCATATACTGTATGACTGGCCTCTTTAGCAGCACCACTCCAGGGATGTCTGTTTGCTGGTCAGTCTACCACAGGGGTGCCCAATCCCAGTCCTTGAGAGCTACTGTCCTGCAGCTTTTGGATGCACCTTGTTCCGACACACCTGAATCAAATGAATGGCTTGTTATCAGGCCTTTGCCAAACTTGATGGCATGCTGAAGAGGTAATCAAACCATTTGATTCCGCTGTGTTGGAGTAGAGATGCATGGACTGGGATTGGGCACCCCTGGTCTACCACCTTCACACCCCACCTCATCAATGACTTTACGGACCACACTGAAAGTTTTGCACAGACATTGATGACCCCCAGAGCATGCATCTTACAGATTTTACTGATCCCAGACTCTTTTTTTTTACCAAACCAGGGGTTTTATATTTTTGTTCACCACCACACAGACCCAAAACAATATAACGATACAAAATATAAACAATATAAATACTAAATCTAGTAAACATGGCAGAAATCTTAATGTCTGTTTTTTTGGCATCACTTGGGCTTGTTGATAGTGTATCAGGAAGCTTGTTCCCTCCAATAAAAGGCCTTACATTAAGAAAGGCAGGCAAGCGTGAAGCTCCAAGCTCAGTCTCTGACAATGTCATCACGTGTTTGGAAATTTTCCAGTAAACCCCATTTTGTTCTAAGAATCTTTTCCAAGATCAACAAATACCCTTCAAGCTCGAATAAGTTTCTGTCTATCAGTTAACTGATTTCCTCCTTGTCCTACAGCGTCCCAGAGCATCTTGTTAAAAGTATAACCTGGCAGACGCTTCAGGCCGTCAACTTCTGCCACAAACAGAATGTAAGTGACGTCACGCTCGCTTCTCCCACCTGACTCCTCACGTAGCGTATTTCCCAGTTGTCAAACCTTCCCCTCTGCTTTGTTTTTCAATTCCTTACTACCCTCCTCCCTCCTCCACCACCCAACAAACACTCTGCTTTATGGCTCTTTTTTTTTTTTACAAGAATTCCTTTCCCGTGGCTGACCAGCAGTTAATGTATCACCAAGACACAACAAACGCTAGAACGGCCCCCGTATAACAATGTGGCTTGAAGTCTACAATCTCTTTCTACTCCCATCAGAAAGCATGTGGTTAAGTTCATAGAGTGGTGTAACTCTACTGTACTGTCTCTGCAGTGCATCCACAGAGACGTCAAGCCGGAGAATATTCTCATCACCAAGCATCAAGTCATCAAACTCTGCGACTTTGGCTTTGCCAGGATACTCAGTAAGTTCATCAGCAGCTGCAACAGTGTTGACAGTGCCCCTTAGTGGTCACTGTTACCATTACAAGTGCATATTCATATTTACAACTTAATGAATGTTACCCTAAACTTGGTTAAGTACTTGCTGGATAGTTTCAGTGCTTCAGATTCACATAGAAGAGTTCAAGGCTTGTTACTAATATTTGTTTTAATCCCTCATTCAGAAATGATTCCCTGAAAACCAACAGAAATCCCCAACAACAAACTTAAGATATTCAGTTCAGTGTCACACAATGAAAAAGAGCAAAGTGTCTCTTTCTGGGTTAAATTTTGACAACATTCGCTTTATTGAATTACAGGAAAACGGCTAAATGATGTTTGCAGCTCCAGGATTACTCACTGAATGAGTCTTTGCAGAAACTATGTGTGTTTTCACTGATAGTTGAAATGATGTTGGATTTTGTGCATTTCTGTGTTTGGCAGCTGGTCCGTGTGACTACTACACCGACTACGTTGCGACCCGCTGGTATCGCGCCCCTGAACTGCTGGTGGGAGACACTCAGTACGGCCCCCCGGTGGACGTGTGGGCAATCGGTTGCCTGTTTGCTGAGCTCCTCTCGGGGACGCCTCTGTGGCCCGGGAAGTCGGACATGGACCAGCTGTACCTGATCATAAAGACCCTCGGTAAGATCAGCCTCCTGCGTAAAATGCCTTTACATTTTCGGAGAAAATAGCGATTTTTTCCCCTAATTTTATCGGTGAGGTATAATGCGTTATACTCGCTATTCGCTGTGTGATTATGTTCCAGGAGATCTGATTCCTCGACACCAGCAGGTCTTCAGCAACAACCAGTTCTTCTGTGGAGTATCCATTCCAGAGCCACAACAGATGGTGACGACGAGTTTTGCTTCCTTTATTTCAGTCAGAAAAGGCCGAATAAAGATCATTTCACTGAAATAATAAATGAACAAAAAGAAATATCTAAACTTGTGACTGTCTTTTCAAAAAGTCCTTTTGCTCTTCGGTTTCTGCAGGAATCTTTGGAGCAAAAGTATCCAAACCTCTCACATCAAACTCTGAGCCTGATGAAGGTGAAGTTGTTTTTATTTTAATGTTTGCAGTTCTTCCTGCTGCTGTTTTACAAAACTGACAAATTCTGGTGCTCTGTCCACACGTGATGGTGCAGGGCTGTCTGCGGATGGACCCGTCTGAGCGGCTGACCTGTGAGCAGCTCCTCCAGCATCCGTACTTCGACAGCCTGAGAGAAAGAAACGAGAGCACATCTCGACAGCAGGACCGCTCCGGCAACAAAAGGACACGTTTACCTCGCAGACACGTTCCCCCCGGGGTGAGCAGCCTTCTGTTCCAATGATAAAGATGACGTACCATATTTGGGATAACTGGTGCCCAACTGGTTGTGTTTTAACTTGAATACAGAATTGTCAGTGGTTATATCGGCTCATACTATTAAAACGAGCACTTAAAAGTTACAAATCAAAAACTACTTCTTATATGTTATTAATAGATGACTACTTATACCACTTATACTACTTATTATATATCAGGATATAATAAAAGATAATCAGGTCCCGAGGTCTGAAATTTAGGTAAATACAACATCGATGAACTACAAAACATAACATGACAGTTTGTCCCGAAAGAACATCTGCAATCGCCACAATTCAACTTTATTCTCAAAATGATCAATATTTTTGTTCTTAATTTGTCCCCAATTCTCCATCATAGAGGGTAAGTAGCAGTCAAGTGTTGCTAATAAAGTGCACTTATCTAATGATCATCAACGAGGGTCACCGACTCCATACAAGCAGAGGTTTTTGGCAGTTTGCAGGACTGTAGCATGCAGGTGTGTGTTAACACAAAACCAAAATGTTCCCAGAAGTGGACATCCCAGCAAATTCATCCTAAGGTCAAATCATGCAATGCTCAGAGAAACTAAAAAACAAAACAAGAGCTACATCTCAGTTAGCATGTTGAATGTGAAAAAGACTGAACAAGTGTGGCTTGTTTGGAAGGAAAGCCTCTTCTCTCTAAAAAGGACATGTTAGCACAGCTTCAGCTTCCAACGTTGCAACTAAACAGATGACAAGATTTCTGGAACAATACCATTTGGACAGATCAGACCAAAGTTCCACTTTGTTTGGCCATAAGCACCACATTTGGTAAAAACCAAACACAGTGCGTCAGTAAAACACCTCACACCAACAGTCGAGCACGGTGGTGGAGGAGTGAAGATCTGGGTTTGTTTTGCACTCGAAGAACCTTACAGCTATAGAGTCGACCGTGAATTGTTTTCCGGGGTTTTCTAGAATTAAATGCGAGGCCATCTGTCCGACTGGTCAAACCGGTCGTGCAACAGGACAATGATCATAATCACGGCAGCAAATCCACAACAGACTCTCTGAAAAAGAGACCCAGTCAGAGTCCAAACCTCAGGTTGTAAAACTCATCGATCTTTAAAAAAATGCCCTTGTAAACTTGTTTTTACTGATTTTTGTGCTCTACAGTATTTGCCACAGTTGACCAGCAGCAGCTTCTTTCCAGCTCTGGACAATAAGAGGTACTACAACAACCTGCGCAAATTCAACTATCACCTACCGAACATCTAATCCCGCTGGTCCTGATCCGAGTCCAACCACCACCAAGAGCTCAGTAACGTGACGCATACTCCAGTAGCACTTTTTAAACACATTTAATGAAGCTCCAACCACTTTTTATGAGGTGTATCACATGAGGTGTCTCTAGTATCTCTCTCGTTGATGTCAGTCTATGCACTACTCCCAGCAGGTCATGTTGGTTTATGTATGTCGCCGTCGTTTCAGGCTGATTTTGTATAGAGACAAGAAGCAGTGAGCTGCTCCGCTCGTAGCTGCACAGTAGACTGAAGGAAAAACTCCAATGTACTGCCTTGCCTGGTTTGCCAAATGTATTTTTATATAATAACGGGCTTTATAAGAGCAACTTGTTTGTTATTTTAGTAAGTTATAATACAGGACATGAAGTTAAACTGCTCGTGAGCGTTTCAGAAAATCTTATTTATTGACATTAGGAGTAAATACAGACATTAAACATCCTTTATCCCACTTTCACAAACATTTATTAGCAGCAGTCGCACTGTACTCAACGTCTCTGGAATATTGGTGCTAAGGATGTTTTCAGCCATCTGTTTGTCCTCAGATATTTAATGATGAATGCCAAAATAATCTAAAAAGAAGATGTAAATTACTCTTAAAATAAACCTTTTCAATTGCTTTCTCTATGTACACACATATGGAGTTACTTTGAATAAATATCACAGTGAACTAGTGTCACCAGCGATTTCATTTGACTCTTTGTTGGACTGACGAAATGACAACTCTGTGAATGATTACGCCACACCTTCTCGCGACAAAAAACCCTCAAAACCTAAGAATAATGGATGTTGTGCTGTGTGCCATTCACACGATCAGTCCAGGTCCAGCTGTATTTCCAGATGTGGAAGTGCAGTTTGCAGCCTGTCAACTGTTGTCTGTCTGTCTTTGATTCCGGGAAGATCACTGAGAAACAGATACTCCAGTTTCCTGAGAGGAAGCATCGCCTAATTACTTCATTCGTTATAAGATTGTTTTTTTTTTAAAAAGCACCATTAAAACAAGCAGTACTTTAAATTTGTTTCCTTTGGAGCAAACAATAAACACTGACCTGAGTTTGTGCAGGGCGATAATACCCTTATCAGTCACATTTCCACACGACACCACCTCCATCATGTACAAGCTCTCCTGCAGGTTCTCTATGGAGGTCAGCCTCTCCAGACAGGCATCTTCAATGTAGATACACTTATTGAACTTGACTTCTTCCAAATGTTTCAAACCATCTAGAAAAATCAACGTTAAAAAAATGGCATCAGCACGTTTAGGAAAAGGGACTCAGGCATGCTCTCCTTTAAATATATATATATACTGGAGTTCAGCAGCCAGCAAGGTCAGAGAAAGCGTGCGTGCCTGCTTGGTGTAAAATATCCCGGACACTTGCGTCACTTTTAGATAATTAGTCTAAGAGAGATGCACTTTCCCCTCGCCTTTCTTGTTAACACCACGGAAGGGAATCGCTTTCAGGTCAACCGTCGAGGTCGAAGCTAATGCAAAATTTACACTTTCTGAACTTGGCTTTAATTTTTAATTTAAACACACTCTTTACTATGTTAATCCAAAGCGAGTTCAAAGGGAAATAACCTATGTTAACATATGTCAACATCTGGATTTACTGATGTTAACAGAACATAAGTCCTAATGACTTATGTTCTGTTCCCCCAGTGCCATCATTAGGTCAACAAGATCATTATGAAGCTGGAAGTACAGAATATTGAGTTCTGTCCTTGTTGATCAAAGCGTCCCTTATTAAAGTTCACAGTCTGTCAGTTTTGTAACATATTTTTGTTGCAATGTTGCTTTTAATTTGTTATATTATATACGAGACATATATAACTTTATTTTTAAAGTTAAATTTGTTTTGGTTTTTTTAATGATTTCTTTGACCAGTTCTTTTTCCAGGGTGGAATGATTGCACAGCACACATTTTAATCACTTTAAAAACAAAAACTGGGTGCATAGATTTGAATTTGCTTTTGATTTTTTTCTAATCCATACAGGGCTGAAGATGTATACACTCAAAACTATATATATACGCATTCCCCTAAATCTTTTAATAAGTACGCTGAAGGTTCTACAATGTCTTTTAACTTGACAGGGCCTATTAACTTCTCATTAGTGATCATGATCGACCACAACAAGGATTTGTTTACCAGCACTCATTGGATTGATCAATACTTTGAAGAATTGCAGCACCTAACATGGACAAGCTAAATGCTTTCTGGAGAAACCTTTAATGGTCAGACGACACGGACATTAAGCTGGAAAGTGGATGGAATATCTTAAGATTACTTCCAAATTGTTCAACTTAACCTTAAATCTGTAAGGCTGTATGTATATATTTGAGCCTGTATGTATTCTTCTGACCCAAAGTTTGAAGTAAATTCAAATTTGTACATTTGTGTATGCTGCACATCTTTAATGACATCTGCACAGTTCAAAGGAATCATTAAAAGCTCAAAATAATTGTGAGATTCACGTCCATGGATGTAAACTTCTGACTACAACTGCATGTATATCTGAGGTTAACAAAGTACTTATCCAAAAGGCATCCAAAAGATATTTAAGTGCAGACGACGAACCCTCTGAATCTAAGAATATGGATTTTTTTCTTTCTTCTGTGATATGAGATCAGCCATTAAACACAATATTAATTCATCAATGTTTTCCTCCCCATGAACATTTTTTCTGTTAATTAAAAAGACAACAGCCTCACCAGGTGTGTGACTGTACACTTAAATATATCTGAGACAACATCCGCGATCATTAGGTGAAGACGTCAATGAGTCTAGAACAAGAACATGATGTTCTCCACACTGACCCAGGTAGTCAAACCCTTTGTACATGATGCAGGATTCAGTGGCGTCAATCGCCTGGATCTTGTATCTGCCCAGAGACCCAGTTGGCAATGCGTTGTAGTCGAGATGCCAGCGATCAAAACCCTGGAAGCGCACTTTAGCACCACATCTCAGCAACCACTCTGCTGCTGCTCGGTCTGGGCCCACAGCTTTTATCCTTTCATAGTCCACCCTGAGTGAAGATCAACAAACAGTCAAAGTACTGCACATGCTGATATGTGATGAAATGTGACGGGTCACATTTGTTGGGTGCAGAAAGGGAAGAAGGGTCAAGAGACAAAAGTCAAAAGTCCTATTGACAACTTCCCCACTAGGGCAAATGTTAAAACCTGAACTAATCATCAACGGTTTACAAAAACAAACATGTTGTCAGTTCATAGCCTGTACATAGCTTGTACTCACTACAGCCTGTACATACTTATAGTTATAGAATATTCACAACATACTTCATACCGTGTACATTATAACATAATAGACCCATTTCTGTAATATACTTACATATCTATATTATTGCTAATATATATTGTAATATATCTATATCACTAAAGCACTTCTGGATGGATGCAAACTGCATTTCGTTGCCCTGTACCTGTGCATGTGCAATGACAATAAAGTTGAATTCTATTCTATTCTATTCTAGTTTATTTAACATGAAAAAAATTATTTTAAGCGCCACTGGACTGTAATTCCTCATCTTTACTAAACAGTTACAAGCAAAAATCTCTGTAAATGAAACAAAAGTGAAAATTAATTTATAAATACAGGCCTAGAAATAGCTTTTCTGTTTAAGTGTTTGTTTAGACTTTGTTTATATGATCTTAGATAAATGGATATGTTTCAATGTGGGCTTTCTTTTCTTTGTTTAGGGAAAAAAATAATACTGTAGCTGACCCATTGTGTCCATTTCTACCCAGCTATGCTTTTACTGGATGGACGATGTGTTTAAGATGAAGCCATTGGCAGTCAGATCCTTTCTAAATGGTATTGCATGGTGGATCAAAAACTGACTTTTGCTCTTCTGCGTTCATAATTCCATCAATTTTGACAAGATCCCAACACCGTTGTCTGAAACACAGCTCCAAACCATGACAAAGCCTCAACCGTGCATTACAGATGGCTGTTGATACTCACTATTGTTTCCTTCTTCTGACCCCTTCAGTACATATTGATGAATCACTCCATCAGACCTGTTGTCACTGATTTTTGGTCAGGTTCTTGTATGATTTAGCATACATCACGCTTTTTCTTTCTTTCTTAAGAACGGCTTCTTTATAGCCATACTTCAACCGAGGCCATTTCCAATGAGGCCTCAGTGAAGACTAGATCGATCAACAGAAGATCCAGGTGCATCTCTCAGGTCCTGTGTCAAGTCTTACCTGGATTCTTTTTCTTTTATATTTCTTAAGGACATCACTTTCAGATAGGTTTGTCTGCTGTAGAAGCTGTAGTGGCTTTTCACTTGTTATTTTGTACTCAACATGTCCAGTTTCCAATTTTAATGACACACCACGCTGAGATATAAGAAGTTTTAAGCTAATCTCTCTTTGGGAATCATCTTGTTGGTGTGAAAATCCTATTTTATGCCTATCAAACTGTATTATATTTAGCATTTTTCATACATTCAGCTACAGAAACAGGAACAAATTACAGGCTGCTAGTAGCAAAGTGCCTAAAGACACGTTTTAAAGGGGTGTTTGCCAAGTTTTTTGTTATGTGTTGACAAAACTGGTTCATTCCTTGAGTTAAATGCCTGTTTTATGTTTGTCTGACTCATAGGTCAGGGTTAAGTCTCTGAATATAGTCAGGTACAAGGACTGGGTTCAAAATGAGAGAAAAAGCAGCTAATGTCCAGAAAAAGAAAAGTATGGCTCAAGACTTTCGTATAGTGATGTATTGTTAAGGTGGAGGTGAGTTAATAAAAAGGTGCCTCACTTGTTGAAAACGGCATTGAGCCAGCCCCAGAAGTGTCTGCGGCTCCTCTCCGGGTGAGTCACCGCAAACTTCACCGCCTGCGACAACAGTCTCATATCTGAAAGCCAAACTGCGCACTGGGAGTTATCTCCTCTGCTGGCTCTCACCGACAAACAGCGCAGGACTGCGACACATAAACAATCCCGTCTCTCACCTGTCCTCCCACAAGCAAAGGACAACTGACAAACACTACTGTTTACATTCAGAGCGCAGCCATCATAGCTCTAACCTTTAACCTTAACGACGTATCACGAATAAAAAAAACGCGGTATCCAATTGGCTGGACGCGCTTACGTCAGAGCGGAACGTTAGCGGCTCTACGTACGGGAGCGAGAGGAGGAAACACGAACACTAGGAGCTAAGGAAAGTCGCTCCTGGCTTTTATACAATGAAGAAGCTAATTTGAGCTGCTATTAAACGCTGTGACAATGATCCGGATCCTGAGCGGGGCGTCCTTTAAGGCTGCTGGTGGACTGTTAAAGGATATTCAAAGCAGACAGCTACACGGGTGAGGCTGACACCACAAAGACAATGACTTGTGCATAAGTGTGAGCTTGTTCAGTTATATGTGAGAGAAGAAGTAGTGGTGGGGTGCTAGTTTCTTTAATGCGTACAGATAGGTAGGAAAATGTGCAGACGAGCCTGCCCAAATATGCAACTTTCACTGAGCTGTCAGTGAAATCCAGCACAGGTGTCCTAGTCACTGCCAAGGACACCCAACTCCCCAAGATATAGATTCAACAACATCTGTACCCTCTGCATGAGCTAGGTCCTCACACCACGTTGTTTACTCACACAAAACATCTGTCTGCCTTTCCAGTCATCTGCGCTCCATTCACATTTCACTAAGTCATTTTAAACTTTCAGAAGCTCCCTTGATTTCTTAATAAGTGTCCAGCAGGGAGGACGGTTGTTAGAGTTGCCGTATTTTCAGAGGCTGCACACAGCTTACCGCTCCCTCTCCAGTTTACTTTAAGGAAGCCCTGCAATATAGGAAATTACAGTTAATTATTATTAAGAGCAAGGGAAACCTTCCTACTTAAATTCAGCTTCTTCAGAGATAACCCTCGGGTTGACAGGTGAAATGTTTGGCAGGTTTAACTGCTTACACCTGTGCGCATTTGTACAGGTCCTGGCACTCTGTTCTAGTTATGATAGAAACCCTCGAGCAAGGTTTCATCTCTGAACATTGACACTTTCTAACCAATTTGGTGATAGTCCCTGATTTAATCTCTGGTTGCATTTATTGCTTTAATGTTTTGTGGGACATTTAAGACATTTTGTCTGGCTGTTGCAAAAGTGCCGCAAAATGTACTCACTTGGTTACAAGATTTAAATGTTTGTGAACATTGTGTTCTTGCAGATCCTTGCTTGCTCTAGCTTGCCTATATGGTGAAGGGTTCTTCTATCCTATTTGTAATTGCAAATACCTCTTTAACTCAAACATCTGTGTCATAGGTCTCCAGACTGATCTGCGTCAAAGGTCTCTTTCTCATCCATGGCTGGACTTTGACCTAAATATTCTGCTTTGTTTTCTACCTTTTCAATCTGTACAGCTAGTCGATTATTAATAGCCACCTTAAATTTTGTCCTGTCTGTTTGCTTTTTGTTTTTTCAGCACATATGACATAGCTGTGGTGGGAGCTGGCATTGTGGGCTTGGCCACAGCCAGAGAGCTGATTCTGAGACACCCGTCGCTCAGTTTCGTCCTCCTGGAGAAAGAAAAGGAGCTTTGTGAGTGGAGTGTTGTGGATGTAAAGACACGGAACAACATGTTAATGTAGAGATTTGTGTTCTCCACAAATCTCTACATTTTTGACCCACTCACTGACACTCTTAAACTTGACAGCCCTTTCCCTTTAGTTACTGTTTCATTAATAATCAAATGTCCTGGAGAACAGAGCCAAAACATTGTAAAAATGTAACAAACCAGCAAACATACTCTGGCACTATTTTCTGAAGTTATTGCAGGATTTTGGATGTATGACAACACTTTACCCCAATCAGTATATAAGATATTTATACTACCGTACATTTGCAGTCATGTGAAAAACTTGCATGATATAGATATATATAGATATAGATGCATGATATAATGGTTTGTAGCGATGACTTAAATTAATAATTTCCTGTGTGACTTCAGTCTCTCACATCATTGTGGTAAAACTTTGCACGCTTATTTAAAACAGTGCTTCAGTTCATCGATGATAGCAGGCATTTGTTTGTGCACTATTCTCTTAAGCCTGATTCTACTGTTGTGGACACAGAAGTCAACAGTTGGAGAACCCACGCCTGATTTGTCATTCCTGTTATACTTCTTTTAAGTCTGCCGTCTGGACGCATGCGTATTTGATGCATTGTAAAAAGGCAGGTGGGCAGACCCTCAGCTAACTGTCTGATGACTCTGGGACCCAAGTGGACCCTAACAGAATCCCCGCTTTAAGGTCCCACCACAGTATTTCAGTGAGGTTGAGGTCTGGACTTGGACTGGGCCATTGCAGCATGTTGATTCTTTTCTTTTTCAGCCTTTCTGTTGTAGATTTGATGCTGTGCATTGGATCATTTTAATCCTACGTGACTCATTTGCTATCAGATAGATGGCCTCACGTTTGACTCTAGAATACTTTGGTATACAGAGGAGCTCATGGTTGTCTCAATGATTGTGCCCAGGTCCTGTGGCTGCAAAACAAACCCAGACCATCAGCCCTCCACCACTGTGCTTGAGTTGTTTGCGCTGTTATGCTGAGTTTCCCCAAATGTGGCGCTGTGCACTGTGGCCAAATATAATGCACACTTTGTTCTTGTTTGCCCAAAGTCCAAAGAATTTGTTGAGACATCAACTCCTGGGAAGATAGTGGCTTTGTATTAACACACCTGAATATTAACTACTGTTTTCCACTCTTTTATGCTATGCTAATCTCCTAAGTGTACCCTAATATTTACCAAACAGAAAGTTAAATAAAGTTAATTAAAACTTTTGCATATTAAAATGATCAACATTTAAACAGATAAATAAACGAAACAAAAAAATTATTTGAGTCAGTTTTTTTCCCCCCCATCACTCCGTAGGACTTAATACTCCCTTCTCTCTTATTGTTCTTCAATTTGTCCATACCTACCAGCTTTACACCAGAGTGGGCATAACAGTGGAGTCATTCACAGTGGGATCTACTACACACCGGGATCACTGAAGGCTCGCCTGTGTGTGCGAGGAGCCACTTTAGCCTATGAGTACTGTGAGAAGAAAGGACTTCCTTACAAGAGATGCGGAAAGGTTTGTCTCTGTATGTTAAGCTGATAGATTTAGAGTTCAGTGACCACCTTGAGTGACTGAAATTACAGCAGACATTTATCAACAGTGTTGGGAAGGAAATATACTACTAGTTTAACTGTATTTAACAGTAGCCTACTGCCCTTTCAGCTTCATCCATATTTACACAGTTTAATTAATGTTACCCATTTTTACCAGGGGCTAATTGTTTTGTACTCTTGGTTCTATATGTTCTCAGTGAGAACAGATATCTGTGATAGAAAACAGATATTTTCTTGCTTATTAAGCACCACGCTATGGAGCCACTGTGAAATGTAAAGCAAAAATGGGTGACAAGGTCAGGAAATTTATAGAAAAAATAAAACTGCATATTGATTAAAAGCAGTGGGGGAAAAGTCGGTACCCACAGTTGGAACTAATTTCATGGTGAGCTTAATCCAGCAGGAGGCAGCATAACGACTAAAAGCAACTAAAATTGAACTAGGTGGCAGTGGTTAACCTGTGACCTCAGCAGGTCCTGGTAGGTTCCTACTTCAAATTGATTTTCTGGAGTTTTTTTTTGTCTGGAGTTTGCAGTGTGGAATGGGAGGATGGATGGAAGTTTGAACTAGCTTTTAAATCTTTGAAATGTATATTTATTCCCAGACACGGGTCTTAAAGTCAGCTCTGTAGCTGAATGAAATCCAATGCAAGGATCAAATATTTGGAGTGTTTTGGAGACAGCTTTGATGTCTCCCCCTAAAGATTAAATCCAAATCAAGATCTTTGACTTGGATGTTAATTTTTATTGCCCCGTAGAGTAAAGAAAAGGACTGAGCGCCAATTCTTATTGCAAAAAATAAAATCTTATATTTATTTAGAATACAAGAGGACCATGTATGTTACCAACGATTTGATGCCTGCTTGTTTTTTTAGCGATTGTTGGTACTCTGAAACTTTTCAGTTGGTAATAGTGAAGTATACAGTATGTGTTTCTGTCTTAAACCATGCAGCTCATCGTTGCTGTGGAGCAGGAAGAGATTCCCAGACTGAAGGCTTTATATGAGCGCGGCATGAAGAACAATGTGCGTGACCTCACCATTGTCGATGGCAAGGGCATCCGGGACAGAGAGCCTTACTGCAGGGTGAAAAGAAAACAAACATCATCTCATTTACTTGGACAAAAACGTGTTAATGCAGAGTAATATTTGATATTTCGTCTTTTCAGGGGATAATGGCCTTGGATTCGCCCTACACTGGCATTGTCGATTGGAGGATGGTGGCTCTCAGTTATGGTACTGACTTCAAGGAGGCAGGTGGCACTGTGGTAACTGAATATGAGGTCAATGACATTTCCATGATCAAGGAGAGCCCATCAGGAAGCACAGAAGGTAACAAGCTGGTTGTGCACATCAGTGTTGACACAGTCATAACTTGTCATAAAAATTGTATAGCTAACACAACTCCCTATTTAAATTCCATTTGCAGGAATGAAATATCCACTTGCAGTCAGAGATAACAAAGTAAGACATGTTAAAACAAAGGTATCACACGGTCAGATCGTGTTCTGTTGTTTACAGTTTTTGCATCATTACTTTCTCACAGGGTAATGAGCTGCGGTGCCGTTACGTCCTGACCTGTGGGGGCCTGTACTCGGACCGTTTGTCACAGATATCTGGATGCAGTCGGGAGCCACGGATCGTCCCGTTCAGAGGAGATTATTTAGTCTTGAAACCTGAGAAGAATTACCTGGTCAAAGGAAATATTTACCCTGTAAGTCTGCTGAAAATGTTTTCCTGGTACAAACATATACAGGCAGGTGTTTTCTGTTTGTTTAAATCATTTTTTGGCAATCTCAATTGCAGAACATCCCAGATATATGTGAAAAAGTATAAGTGAGTTACAGTATGTGGACTTCTTTTTCCTCCTGCCTGGAGATGTTTTGAGGGGAATTTTAAAAAGATGACGACTTGTCGA